TTTGTTGACTTTTTTGTTGTCATAATAGAAAGTGGAGAAGCTTTTGGCATAAAGTGAAATCTTTTCCAGATTTTTAATTGCATTCTCTTCCTTGTGTTGTCATGTTCATCTTTAATAATCTGTAGAGGACCATTTGTTCATCCTACAGGAAAGGCAAAATAACAGAGCAAGTCTAGAAATGGAAACGTGGCATGATCTAGCAAATGTGTATACGAGCTTATCACAATGGCGAGATGCCGAGATATGCATTTCGAAATCCGAAGCCATCAATCCTCATTCGGCTTCACGATTACACGCAGCAGGTATATCTTGTTGTTTATAATCAATAGTTCTCTCTTTAATAATGAAAATCCTAAAAACTTAAAGAAAATCTTCATTTGGCAGGATTACTCCATGAAGCCCAAGGGCAAAATAAAGAGGCTCTAAACTCCTTCCAGAAAGCACTTGATATTGAACCCAATCATGTCCCGAGCTTGATATCAACTGCCACTATCCTGCGGAAAATCGGAGGGCAGTCATTGCCTGTAATCAAAAGCTTCCTGACAGATGCATTGCGTCTGGACAGAACAAACCCGAAAGCTTGGTACAACCTTGGACTGCTCTACAAAAACGACTCTAATATGGATGCAGCTGAATGTTTTGGGGCTGCAGCATTGCTCCAAGAATCCGAGCCAGTCGAGCCCTTCAGATGAAAACACTTTTTGTTTTTTCGGTTGCTTTTATGAAAACACTGAATGTTGTTCATATGTTATTTGAAGGCAGGTAAAGTTTTAATTGTCATTGTGCTGCAAATGAATGGCAAGAATATAATTTGTAAAAAGAACCCCTAAAGTTTGATCTAGTTAGAAGATAACTCAATCATCTATGAAAATTATATAAGTAGTCCCAAATATCTGTGCATCTGTTAGATTGTCTGTCCATTATGAATTGCGTGTCAATAAGTGATGAGCAAATGGTGAAAATTGTAATACTGAGAGAACTGCAGATTTAGCTAAATTTCTGGGGAAATCGTTTGAAATTATTTGAGGCTTTAATGAAAGAACATATTTCTTGAGGGGCTCAAAATGGGAAAAACATCCATGCAACTACTAATAGATTGTACAAAGAACAAAACAAGCAGTAGAATTTCTCGTACAAAGGATAGAGAAGATCCAAGCATAAAAATGAACAGAAGAACTTGTGGAAAACCAAAATCATCGATTTTTTTTTTCTTTTCTTTTTTTCTGCCGTTTTCCCCTGTTCTCCACTGATAGGAGAATAATTCACGACCAGAATTACTTTTTACTGAGATCAATTCCAGCCTTCTTAGCCATTGCGTCAAGTCCATTCTTTTCAATGGTCTTTATAGCTTTGGTTGACAATCGAAGCTTCACATAGCGTTTACCGGCTTCCCACCACATTCTCTTGTACTGCAGGTTCACAAACTGTCTTTTAATCGTCTTGTGGTTTGAATGAGAAACCTGGTTTGCCTTGTTTGATTTCTTACCAGTGAAAGGGCAAACCCTACCTGAATATAAACCCAAGGATTCTATTGATCACATCATGAAATAAATCATACGAGTATCATACTATAACTCTTCAAAAAACATGAACATGCTTGCTTGATACATGCTAGGTCAGAAAAAAAATACAAACTTCATCTATCTACATTTTCAATAGAGTTTGAACATTCATCCGCAAACTGGAGTATGTACGCATGTAGAGAAACATCTAATATACCATTAATCTGAAACAATGATAATTTTGTTTCATATAACATCAATTTATCAGAAGTTAAAACTAGTAAACATCACTTAGTGGGTTAGAAGTAGCAACATCCAAGTTTTTGACAAAAGTGATACACTTTGCAGCTGAACTGCTTCATTCTACAATTTATTCTCTATGTACATTTGTAGTTACAGTTTAGAAAGCATGTCACAAATGACAAACACAGGTATCACCCACATTCCACAGGGTACAACAACCGGTGCACGCAGACACCATACACACATACTACTTTTCTTGTAAGGGTACAATAATCAAAATAAACACGAAGGGAACTCATGCGCACACAGATAAAGAAACGAACAGCAAACACAATTTTCATATGAAATACAGGAATTATTCCCAAANCCAAAAAAAAAAAAAGATAAAAAAATTATATAAAAACACGCATTAATTAATGGAGATAAATGTGAGAAACTTTACTAGCAACAGTCCGTAGGGACCTGAGTGGCGCAGAAAACGGAACAGGGGAGATTTTAAGAAAGTGGGTTGTCGAGATTTTGACGCCACTAAACTGGGACGCGAGCGAGCCAATTTCCTGGTACGATTCTGAGCTCCTGAATGAAATTCTGTTCAAGTTTTGGGATTTCGCCACGGCCATGCCTGCCATTACTGGACCTAGTGCAGCTGTTAGCGTCGCCATTGTTAGGGAAGTGCAGTTTTCTCTATTATCTTATGCTGTGCGCAGATGATTTAGGGCGATGGGTGCGAGTGGTGGGAGGGAGTGGATAACACTAATTTTAATTTGGTTTTCAAACCTTCATTTAATTTGGTTCTCACTCTTCTGCCCCTACAATTTTTTTGTTTCACAATTTACACCCGTAGTTTGTGCTATTTAGCCTTTTAACGTACTGAGATGTGCTCATTTTTTATTGGCACCACCTTATATTTTTTTTTTACAATTTTAACCAACTTTTAAACATTAGCAAAGCATAATCTTTTGTTACAACCCGAACACATTACCCCGAACACAAATCCCGTCGACATCGATATTTTTGTTAGTGTATCCGGCTTGGTTCCTACGTGGTCAAATCTTTTGGCTGACATGGTATGTACGAGAACATTGTCTTTTTTGTCAAAAATCCCAAAATCAATTTTTTTAAATTTAACCCTAAATTGAGAATATTCAGATCGACGTCCCCAAATTCCCAAATATCAGATCGCCGTTCCCTGTTGTAGGATTTCAAATTGTTTGCTTCCTGCTCAATGGATTTCAAATCTCTCTCCCTGATGCCTGCAGCTTATCAATCCACGAATTGGGGATAAGTTGACTTAAATTTGAATTCAAATTTAAGTCAATATCCTTTAATATTTCAGCTTATTGATCCCCCGATGCCTGCAGCTTATCGATCCATGGATTTCACCTTATCGATCCTTCCCTAATTAAAGGATAAGTTGTCATAAATTTAAATTCTAGTATATATGCAACTATGTTAGGGTGATTTTGTATCTTTACAAATAAATATTAATTAAGTGTAAATGTGTAATATAAATATATTTGATAGTATGGGGTGCAGATTCCTCAAAGATTAATATAATTTTTTTCAAACAAATTTTAACAGCAAACAATTTTTAACATGGGCAGAAACTCAATCGAGGGCCCAAATCAAAATATCAGAGAATTTTGAAAAAATTTGATATAAAAATATCAACTCATGTTAACAAGTCCGTTGTATTTCGCATGAGAACAGAGCAATCGTAACATACATGGGTGGACTTCGTTTCAAACAACCAACTACATAGCATTGGTTTTAGATGTTTGTCAAACGAAAATTTCAATTAAAACAGACGCATACAAAACACATAGGAACTATTAAAATTCTCAAGTCCAATGAAAATTTCAATTCTAGCACCACAAATCGATAGACATGGCTAAAAGAAATTCACGAAGGTAAACCACGAAGACAACAATACAACACTACATTTTCCAAAGGTAAGAAATGGCTTGTACCATAAAATATCAAGTGTTTTTACCTGTCAATCTAATGAAAACTTGTACTAGTCTTTCAGATGCAAGCCATCACTTCACTGGAAAAAGCTGCTACACTAACTTTTCTAGCCTTAAAAACATTTTCAAGCATGGGTGAAATTCTAGACTGATGCTAACATTGCATAAACATTTTCTCCAAATCTGCTCCACACCTGTTTTCGCCCACTCATATAGTTTGACAACACTCTGATGTCTCATTTGCTAAACCTCATCCGGTACAGATCCTGATTGACATATCCAATACTCACAGCACGACCATCAAACGTACGACCATGCAAACAATGTGCTGCCATACAAGCAGCTTCTGGTCTTCTATATTCTACATAAACACAGCCAAGTTCAAACACATTCTCAAGATCCACAGAGATTATATCCTTTTTATCCACTTCCACAGGAGCATTACTTTCTTCTAATTTCAATTCTTCCACATCATTTCCAAATTTCGCATTCCGTTCTTTATTTTGAAATTTTCCCTCTACCAAAGGTTTGCTTTCCATGTCAGCACCTTCCACATTAATAGGAATATCCTTTTTGCCGACTTCCTCAGGAGCGTTGTTCTTCTCTAATTTCAATTTATCGCCTGAACTTCCAGCTTTTGCATTATGTTCCTCTTCAGACTGCAAATCTCCTTCAGTCGAAGTCTCAATTTCCATGCAAGTTTTTATCTTGGAAATACAACCTGCAACTTTATCCATGTTTTTGAACTCCAAAGCTGAATCATATTTTTCATCTGCAGGCTCTCTAGTAAAACTGCGAGAATATTCCTGGCTCAAAGGCTCTTTCACGGAATTGTTTTCATCGGGTGAAGGTCGTTTGCAGAATTCATCCTTTTCAACATTGCTAGCAATAGTCTCGTCCGAATTAACAGTTCGTTTATTATTCTCCAATCCAGTACGAGTTACTGTAGGTCCTGATTGGTCAAGTTCTCCAACCTCTACGTTGTACAGATCAGTAGACACACTTGTGTTCTTTACTTTGCGTGCTTCCATGGTGCTGACAGAATTTGTTGGCTTAGCAACATTTATAGACTTCACTGTCCCAAACCTACAGAATTTATTTGTAACCGAGAAAAATCTTTGATTAACAAGCAATAAAATTAAATTCTGGTCAATCCAGGTCATTTTGGGTTGCGCACAAGCGCCCTTTAGTTTTAATCTAGTTACAAAAACCACAGCCCTCATCTAAAATTACAATTCATAAATAGACCACCAAAATGGGACAGTTACAAAAATGCTAACCTGGAGGGTGTTTTTAATACAAGGGATATTTGTAGTTTTGGAATAAAAATGGCTGGGACATTTTGTAATTAGGTCAAATCTCAAGGGTAGTTTTAATAATTATCCACATGTATGCTGACCTGGAACATTCCAGCCTTATATCTTCCAATATGTCTTCTAGGTCAGACTCAGAGAGTGATGAGAGCCCTTCCAAATCCAACTGAAATTACAAAGGTATTTTGGTCATTCCATAGGACCAGAACATCATAAAACGGGGGAAACAAGTAAAAATGAAGGCATAAATAAGAAGCAATACCAAATTCTTCAACTTCAAAACAACTGTGGGCTCCTCAAGAAGAGGCTTGGCGTGCTCAGGAATCCCATAAAATGGCAACTTTCCAATGTTTTCCTAATGAACATAATAGTTTCAGAAAAATATATAGCCAACAGAAAACCTCCAGTATGATGAGTATACATTTTCACCCACCATATTAGTTTCTGGAGTGGCAAATACTGCAGAAACAACTCGTCCACCCAACTTCATACCATTAAGACCAGCACATGCCTTTGAAGTAACTGAATGGTCAACGTACTGAAGAAAAAAATAATTACTTCAGGGAAAGAGGGAGATGAGAGGTATCTTTTAAGCAGGAGGATTTTGATTCAGAATATATGAAAATGAATCATTTTCAAGACATTTAAGGAACTGATACAAACAGATATATTGTGAGTCAGATGCACTCTGTGCCAATATTTAAGTTGCATACTGAACGATTTTCTCATTAAAATATATACCTCAAGAAATGCACAAGGTTCATTAAGATCAGCAATAAATTCAAAGCGAAATGCCTTCACAGGTCCAAAGGCTCTAGCAATCTCTAAAAGCTGAAAAGAGTACATGCAAGCATAATTGTCTCAGATAATTAAGCTACAGTAAGGATAAAGGAGTATTGGAACAAAAGATACATTAACTTACCATTTTAGAAGAAACAAGTTTTGAGATTCCCCCAATAAAGATCTGAAAAAAAAACTCATGCAACAGATTGTCAAAATGTGAATTTGGTGAAGAGATAAATGCATTCAATTAATAACCGTTACAAAAATGAGTCATTTACTAGCATACAAAAATTTCCTTATCAATAGTTTTTTTTCTTTTTTTTCAGTCAGCAAACAAAATGGAAGTTATTGAGGTCAGGTCAGCAGAATTTAATAGGAAGCACTTGCAGAAATATATCTATTATCCTCAAACCCAGAATTTAATAGGAAGCACTTGCAGAAATATATCTATTATCCTCAAACCATTGCATGAAAAAGGATTGGATTTGTTAACATCATATTGGTAAATGCGCTCATTTCAGAAAGGATAATGACATCGACGACTATGGAAAAGGTCTGAAGTGAATTGAAAAACCCAGCGTATTCATTGTGGAAAGTTCCCCAAGAACACTGATGTACATACAATGCTCAGGTTCACCCTTATGCATTATGTGCTCGGGGCTACCTTATTTCCTTGCAACAAAGTACTATTTCAGCTACTCCAACAAATTCTGATGCAATCGTGTATTCGGGTGACACTTAAGACATCAGATAGGACTACTTAAAATTTAAATTCTTTCCAGAAAATAATTATATCTAAAGTTCATCAAGGCAGACTTAATTTCTTCATGTTGATCGACGGCTTCACAATATATATCCAGTTTGTTCCTATAAATTAGATGTCTACCAGACTTCAAACTTGAGCTCAGATCAATGTTTTATCGCAAAAAACTGACACTGGACTTATACCATAAATAGAATCCCAGGTCTCCAAAACAATATTTTTGGGCACATTAAAGAGGAATATTAGGGCTGTGGTTGGCTATAAATTAGAGATATTTTGTCAACTAGCAAATAGCGTCAAAAAACTTTTTAAGGAAAGAAGAATTTTGAGTGTGTGGACATAAAATGGAAAGGCATATATTAAAGTTTATGTGATATCAGAAAAGTAAAATATAATTCGTAACTAAAAATTTATGAGCTAATAAATAGTTGATTTTGTAGGTAAATCTCTAGTAGTGACTGATTTTGCGTCATGCTACAACAAAATAATGGTTTATATCTTTGACATCAGCATACTTGGCAGGATGTTGTTATCTTACACATTACATCAACTTTAAATCAACAACTACTATAATTTCACATCCTTATCAAATTTTTTATGTACAAGTAGCATTTATTTTTCTGAAAATTAGTCTATTCGAGAAAAAACTTCTCTGGTAGTTAAAGATAATTCTTTATATATCCAATTACACCCTAAACATCTTCCATGCAACTTAAGCTAAACTTTTAAGATGCAAACCTTGTGGGGCGAATCCTCTACAACATTGCTAATCCAATCAGCAGCAACCACTGATTTGTCAGAAAGACCAGTCTGCATGAAAATAGCAACTGTCTGAAAACCTGCTACATGCAATAATAACCACAATATACCTCAGAAACAGCATATATAAAGAGGGGAATGCTATTTTCAATGGAAAACTAGTTAGCCGAGTGAGATACACTCCCTAAATACTTGAGATAAGATACTGATACATGCTAGGGAAAGCGAGGTGAGGGGTGGGGGTAGAAGATAAAGAAGACTAAACACGAAACAGAAAAATTGAAATATCAAGAAAACTAGGAAGTACTTGGTTCTTAAGTGTATGAACTAGTACATTCAATCACAATTCACAAATACTGCAACCAGCTGACTCAAAAAAGGATGCTTAACAGCACAAGCACCCAATTTGCATAGGTAAGGTAACACACAGGTTGGATTAGTACATTTATGATTGAAACAGAAAACAAATTTTGACCTGGATATCCTAACTCGTGGATTCTTTCCAATTCCACAGTTATAACAAAGTTACCAGACAGTGGGTCGGTTTAATCTTATACACAGTCTCACAGAAAGAAGCTGATTACAAAAAGAACTGGAAGGAGATACCGAGACAGTAAAACAGAAGTGCTCATAAGAACAGAAAAATAAAGACAAAAGACGCCGATAACATAAAACTTGTACGGAAGAAATGTCATATTGTTCGTCAAAAAAAGCATCGATAATGTCAAATTGCAACATTAACAGTGAGCAAGCTTTCACATAAAAACATGGAATTCTTACTGTTACACTAGCAAAGTCCTTAGGGCGCCTGAGTTTAAGGTTGCACCCAGAAAATGACACTCCATCCAAAGAAAGAGCTGAAGTAGCATCCTCAGGGGTCAAAAATTCCAAGAGAGCCTGGCTCTTCTCCTTGTGGATCTATAGTTCAAAATGGCAAGCACACATGCTATTAGCAGGCACGATTAAGACAAAATAGTTGACATAAAGTAAGCTAACACGTTCAAAGTTGAAACATACAATACAGCTGATACATGGTTGTGTTCCTCGAATGCAGTTAACACCAGATGTCAGCAAATACTTATTAATACATTCTATTAAGTCTTTTTCAGACGCCGACGAAGGTAAGTTTTCCACGTAGAGCCTCCTCATAGGTCGTGTTGCTTGAGTTAGCTGAACAGCTTCTATGGCATGCATCTGTGAAGACATGTTCTGATGAGAAACTACAGTAGGTCTCACCAAAGTAGGAGCCATTGGAACGACACTCTGAAAATTTATCGCGTTCAATGCAACATTCTGGCTAGGAGGCAGCAACTGCAAATTGGGAAGAGCTGAACTAGCTACGAAGGTCTGTTTCTCAGCAGGTTGTAAATCCCAACCAGCCGTCCTTCTTTCTGGAGAGCGACGGGTAGGGGAAGGTGTTCTACCAGCTGCATCTGTTTTCCTCTTTCTAGGTGAATAACCCCCAAGACCACTCGAGGGCTCAGTGTTTCGTCTATTGAGGCTATTAGACCCACTAGTGGGTATCAATTTCTTGTCAATATCAGAATGTTCTCTTCCTGATCTGTCTTTACTCGAGTGAGATGATATTTCACCATGTTCCCTTTTATCTTTCGAAGTGTGCTTGTGCGTCTTAGGTGAGTGTGAACGAGACCTTCTATCTCTGCCCTTGACGCGCTCTCTGCTCCTTGATCTTCTCCTCTTGGCTCTGGACTCTTCAATAGAGGCTCGTGCCAGCTCCGGCTCTTTCCTTCGAGGAACATCTCTTTTATTTGTATGTCTGCTTTTAGTTTTATCCTCCTCGTTATGACGTCTGTGTCTGGTTTCTTTTTCGGCTTTCTCTCTGCCTCTGTTGGTTAATAGTCTTTCTGTCTGGTTCACACCTTGTTCGTTCCATCTTTTATACTCTTTCTCAGACTTGCCGCTCGTTCGCTGTTCAGTTTTCCTCTTTCTGTTGACCTGGCTTTCATTGTCAAGGAGATGTGGCCGATCAACTTTGGATCTGACTCTGCCTCTTACAGAAGTTGCATCCTTTTTATATGAATCTCTGGTTTCTCTCTTATTTGATCCATTATGAGAATCAACACCTACTGGACCATCTCTTCTTCGATTGTTTTGATGTCCTCTTTCATTTTCTCCTTCATTCTCTCTCTTGCTGTCATCAACTTTTTCCCATACACTCTTTAACCTGAAAGTACGATTCCTATACCCTTCATCGCTGCCCTGAACAAACTTTCCACTCTTCATTGGAGCACTGCTATCCCTTTTCAACTGAGAACTAACCTTCTGAGAGTCATTTGAAGTGTGTCTCACAACCATAGGTTTCGAATCCTCGTTTGTTTCCCTATGATGCCCTCGGATATCAGACTTCTTCTTGTGGTCATCATGCCCTGTTGCAATATTAGCCTCTTCAGGGTCACCGGCAACTACTTTTGCTGCACCTTTCTTGTTATTTCTTATGAGCATTACGTCATCATAGCTCAGTGGTCTTGTTCGTGCAGAAGTGCCCTCCAAGTGATCATCATCTGGCACTTGATAATCACTTTGCGATTTCTCTTTGCATAAACGGGATCGAGTCATGGCCTTGGTGGGCTTCCAATCTGGTAAGATACCAACACAATTACAAGGAATTACTGTATATGTGCTGTAAGGGCCTGAAACCGAGACTGTTTCTCCTTCAACAAAACGAAGGATACAAGATTTAAAAGCTCAGAAAAGGCAATGGTATCTATTTTAGGGGGCAGCATTTGTTTTCATTAGACGAAATAAGAACAAATCTGATCAGTGCAAAGTTTGCTTCAATATTTTTCAACCTTACATTACATTTTTCTTATCCTTTGGGGCATAAAGGAAGGAGCCAACGCAGCAATAGTTACACAGAAAGTTTATCGGAAAAATAAACAACTAACAAAAATACTGGCAAGATTACTGCTTTCTTCATTTCCTCAATCCTCTAATCAATTCAACTCTAAATTAAAACTATTATAAAAAAATAAAAAATAAAAAGAATGAAAAAAAATGGCTTGTGGACTGAAGAGAACACTAATTCTGATTCTAGATTCTAGCTCAGTACATAAGAAGAAAAACGCTACAACGGAATTTAATCTAAACCTAACGAAACTTAAATTATAAATTTACCGTCTTCAAGCGAAAGAGTGGATAATGGGCTCGGATTGGCGGAGAGTAAATTGAAATGTAGGACAAAGACTAACGCGTTGAAAGGAAATGAGGAACCACCGGAGCTATGGCCGGAGTGTCGAAGCTACACCGGGGTGGAAGAACCGACGATGGCTGATGGACTAAAGATATAAAGACCTAGCGGCGAAAGATATTTGCTGGCTGGTTCATTGACAGTTCTAACCTTCATGGAATATGCATATGATTTTTTTATTTTTTCTTGCGAAAATAATTGCAATTTCAAAATAACTCATCAACATAAATCAAATTTATGGACAAATAATATTCTTTCACTGACGTTTAATTTATTATTATTTTTTAAATAATTTCAAACTTTTCTTTACCAATATTGGCCCAATATTATCGATCACTCTATTTATCAATAAACCTTTGGGTAATAAAATCAATTGCTTAATATTTGAATTTGATTTTTTATATAAATATATTATTATACTAAAAAAATCAGTAGTTAGTTGAGAGAAGGTTAAGATAAAAGAAACTACAAAACTAATCATATATATATATAAATATGCAAATAATGTACAATTAATTTATTAATTAAAAGTTACAATAATTCAAAAAAAAAATTAAAAGTTACAAAATTAATTATTGGCCAACGATCATCAAATCACTTAGTTACCAAAAAAAATTAGGTAATTAGGTTAATTGTTGAAGTACTTTAATCAAATCATATACGTAAAAATTTACGTTTATATTTGAAAAGTACATTCAAAATTAAAAGAACTATACTGATTTAATTTCAGCTTTTTTCTAATAAACTGACATTTACCTAAATAAGATACATTATTTTCAGTGATATAAAAATTTGAACATTAACTTTTCAAAATTATTAAAATGTGTTTATTTGATAAGTTAGTGCACAGAAATATTTCAATAAAATTATGACATTAACGTACCAAATGGCCATTTTTTGGAAAAGAAATATATTAATTTTAAATATCCAAATTATGTAATTTGTTTAACAAAATCTAACTTCATGAACAAATAATAAAATTTTTTTTAACATAATTTATACATCAATTAAAAAGTTATAATAATATGAAATATTCGATTGTGTATTAATTTCATTCTAATATAATAAAAAGTTGAGATATAAGATTTTATTTATTTTTCCAATCAACTATGAGAATTCTTTATAACAGTTTTTTTGGTGTTTATTTATATATTAAAAATTTTAAATTTAAGATTAAAGGCGATTCGGTGAAAATCTTAGACTATGCAGTAATTTAATTTCACCATTATTTTTTAAGGTTAAATTATTAGTATATTGTCTTCATTTGAATGGGACAAGTTTAATTTTATAATTAACTAAGTGATTGTATGTAATTTATTGTTGAGTCGGGTTAATGTCTAAGACACGACTAGGTGATGTAGCGCAGCGTAAACGAAAAGGGAACAAGAGATAAATCTCAAGAACTGATAAAATTATTCATAAAACATCCACGTCTTCAAATGAAAGGGACGATATAAATAAAGTCCAAACTATTCCTAATCTTTATCTTGCTAATCAAGTAAATAATAATACCTAGGAAAAGAGAATAAAGCATAATAATAAAATATCTAGGAAATAAATAACTAAACTAAAGATGGTAAACGATCATATTTTTCCATATATGCCATCGCGATCTCGTCTCCATCATCCTCCCCCTGTTGGGAAGGATTCGCCCTCGAATCCAGGCCGATCTCGTCTCCGTCTGAGTTATCACCGAGATAAGGCACCAAATGTTTGACGTTAAAAACGTCGGAAGTCCGAAGATGGGAAGGTAAACGAAGACGGTAGGCGTTCGGATTAATCTTCTCGAGGATTTCAACAGGACCAATTTTACGGGCCGACAGCTTATTGTACTCATGGGCCGAGAAACGATCTTTAGTCAAAACTGCCCAGACGAAATCTCCCACCTCGAACTCCACATGGCGACGCCGCATGTCGGCATGCTTCTTGTAGCCGGCGGTGACGGTCTCCAAACGAGCCCGGGCGGACTCGTGAGTGCGCCGCAAATCCGCCATCAACTCCTCGGCACGAGGCTCGGCCGCCACAGCCGATGGCAAAGCGAGCAAGTCCGCGGCCCCTCGCGGACGGACGGCGTATACCACCTCAAACGGGGAGAAGCCCGTCGCACGACTCCGAGCCGAGTTATGAGCGAACTCAGCCTGCGGGAGTCGTTGGTCCCAACTCTTCAGATTCTCGCCCACCAAACAACGCAATAAATTCCCAAGGGACCGATTGACGACCTCCGTCTGACCGTCAGTCTGAGGATGATAAGCGCTACTGAAGTCTAACCGAGTGTTGGCCAGACGCCACAAACTACGCCAAAAATGGCTAAGAAAACGCGTGTCACGGTCAGAAACAATAGAAGACGGTAGGCCATGCAGACGATAAACCTCCCGAAAAAATAAAGTAGCCACATGGAGGGCATCTGCAGTCCTCTTGCATGGTATAAAATGGACCATCTTAGAAAAACGGTCGACGACCACAAAGATAGAATCATTACCTCGTTGTGTACGAGGCAAACCCAGGACGAAGTCCATACTAATAGCAGTCCACGGACGCGAGGGAATCGGTAAGGGCCTGTAAAGGCCTGCATTGGACGCCACAGCCTTAGAAACTTGACACGTACGACAACGCTCAACGAAACGAGCCACATCCCGACGTAACGAGGGCCAGAAAAAGGAGCGACTGACCAGGTCAACAGAGCGATCGCGGCCCACGTGCCCAACACCATGAAGGTCCGCCACCACCTTCAAACGCAGGCTACAGTCGGGAATACATAACCGAACACCACGAAATAAGAAACCATCAGCAAGAACATAACCATCAACAGAGTCAGAGGCAAGGCGAGAAAAAATGGGCCCGAAAAAGGGGTCGGTAGCATATAGATCCTTCAACAAATCAAACCCCACGACCTCAACCCGCATATCAGTCAACAATAAAGAACGGCGACTCAAGGCATCTGCCACACGATTCGAAGCACCCGAGCGATGCTTCAAAACAAAAGTGAACTGCTGAAGATAAGATGTCCATGTAGCATGGCGAGAAGAAATATTACCTTGAGAGCAGAGGTGGCGAAGGGCCTCATGGTCTGTGAACAAGACAAACTCCCGCTGAAAGAGATAATGCCTCCAATAATGAACGGCCCGAAACACAGCATAGAACTCAACGTCATATGTGCTGTAGCGTAATCGCGGGCCCGACAACTTCTCACTAAAGTAAGCGACAGGGCGCCCCTCCTGGCTCAACACAGCACCAATCCCGACCTTCGAAGCATCACACGAAAGCTCAAACGGGAGAGAAAAATCAGGAAGGACCAAAACCGGGGCAGATGTGAGCTTGCTCTTAATAAGATCGAAAGCATCGGCGGCCTGAGGGGTCCATACAAAGGACTTGCCATGAAGGCAGTCCGTGATAGGAGCGGTGATAGAACTAAAATGTGAAATGAAACGTCGGTAAAAAGATGCTAACCCGTGGAAGCTACGCGCCTCCGTGAATGAGGTCGGAGTTGGCCACTCCCGAATAGCGGCGACCTTGCTGTCGTCCACGCGAATGCCAGCCGCTGAGATGACAAAGCCCAAAAAGAGGACCGAGTCGACCACAAAAGAGCACTTCTTAGGCGCCGCATAGAAGGCCTCGGACCGCAGTATCTTCAAAACTGATCGAACATGCTCCAAATGCTCTGGAATAGTGCGGCTATAAATGAGGATGTCGTCGAAATAAACGACGACACATCGCCCAATGAGGTCGCGCAAGGCCTGGTTCATCACACGCATGAAAGTGCTAGGTGCATTAGAAAGACCAAACGGCATCACCAGCCACTCGAAAAGACCCTCTCGGATCTTGAAAGCGGTCTTCCACTCATCGCCCGGCCGGATCCGAATCTGATGGTAACCACTCCGAAGATCAAGTTTGGTAAAAACCGAAGCCCCATGTAACTGGTCCAATAGGTCATCGAGGCGTGGAATAGGAAACCTGTAACGAACCGTGATCTTATTAATGGCACGGCTGTCAACGCACATACGCCACGAGGCATCCTTCTTTGGAATGAGCAAGGCCGGCACCGCACACGGGCTCAAACTGCGACGAACAACCCCCCGTTGTATCAACTCCTCCACCTGGCGCCTCAACTCTTCGTGTTCAGCCGGGCTCATACGATAATGAGGACGATTAGGCAGAGAAGCACCGGGCACCAAATCGATATGATGCTGAATGTCCCGAAGCGGAGGAAGACCAGAAGGTAGCTCGGCAGGAAAGACATCAGAAAATTCATCAAGCAAAGGTTGAATAACGGTCGGCGGGGCCGTTGGTGTGGACATATCAGTACCCAAAAGAAGCACGACACACGGTGCCTCCCGCAATTCACTAGCAAAGGCCGTGTGAGACAATAAAAGAACCTGTGGTGGCGGTGGCGGAGGCAAGGGACGAGGAGGCGAAGGATGAAGGATCAATCTAACACCCTCAAACATGAAACTGTATGTGTTGAGACGACCGTCAAAAGCCACCGCGCGATCAAATTGCCATGGACGACCTAATAAGAGATGACACGCGTCCATGGGCACTACATCACACCACACCGAGTCACGATACTTGGGCCCGATGGAAAACTGGACCAACACCCGACGGTCCACCGTGATGGCGTTACCTCGCTGAATCCACGCCAAAGTGTACGGCTGAGGATGCGGTACCGTCGACAACTGAAGGCGATCCACAACATCCTGGGCCACTACGTTTTCACAAGAACCAGAGTCAATAATAAAACGACAAACACGACCACCTACCGTACATGTAGATTCAAAAATATGGTGACGCTGTAAAGACTCAGTAGTGTCAGAAACTCGAGGTGCCAAACACGAGCGGCGAAGAACCAAAGCAAGGCCCTCGTCACCACACAGATGTTCCTCCTCCGGGTCTGGCTCGACATCAAACTTTGGCGGTCCATCATAAGCTACCTCCGCCGAGCCGTCAAAGTCATCTGCCAGTAGAGCCCGAGAGCTGTTGCGGCGGGGACAGGCGGACTGACGGTGGCCGGCCTCGCCGCAAGAAAAACAGCGGGGACCACCTCCGGCGCGCGACCCCTCCATCCCAGCTGAGGCAGTCCCGATTCCTACAGCCGTGCTGGTCGACGGTCCAGCCGAGGGAAATCCAGTCAGCCCTGTCGAGTTGCTGCGACCACCCGG